ATGTCATCTGATGTTTATAGATTATACATAACTTTAAAAAGCATTTAATTCAAATGCACCAAATACAGCAAAATACTTAAAAATAGAGGTTTCAAAGTAAATACTTATATAGAGACACCAGCAAATAGATCTGACCTTTTCAAGTGGCTTTCCCAAAGAGCTTCCAATCAGTTTCCAGTCATTCAAGACTTCTTCAACTTTGGAAATAAACCTAGAAAGGGGGCGAAAGCTTTCTAAATATGTAACAATATATTTTTCCTACTGTTACACAATTTCTTTAAAAAGGATTTTTTTTTTATATTTTAACATTTTAATCAGAGAAGACTCAGTAGGTTTAGTGTTGTCAACCTAATTATGAATATGGAATAAAAGCAGAAATAATCTTCTTTAGCTCAAGAATTCTTAAGTTTTTATTCATTTAAGTCTACTGTTTATCCAACAAAAGCATTTTGCCTTCTATAAAATATAAATTAAGAATTAATAAATCTATTAAAATGAGTACAAAAAATTTAGGGCAGAAGTAAAAACTTACAGACTAAAATGATACTTTTAAAGATAATTATGAAACTAATAATCTCTCCCCTACCCTCAAAATAACTGATTTTTTATTTAAATGTATTTAGGAATTCCCTGATTTACCCCTCATCTTCAAAAAAGAAAACATTTGTGAACTTTGCTCATTAAAATAAAACAAATTTTAAGAGATAGCTGTCAAGAAATTTCGAGATTTGTCAGCTTTAAGGAATAACTGACAAACAGATTTAAAACTATTTGTTATCTAATCTTTAAATCTAAAGATCAAGAAGACCTACTAAAAAGAGAATTGAATTTTGACTAGCAACATACTCAACATCAGCAAATGAAATCTGTCAAATTTCAGTGGTAGTATTAAAATATTAAAAGACACTTTTGGGAAACTTATTACTCTAAGAAGCTTAGTTATATACGTATGATGCAAGCTAATGGCACCACTGCTCCCTGAAACACCTAGGAAGTATGATAGAGTATTAGAGTTAATTTTAGTCAAATTGTGTTCAAAGGCACTGAATTCTTCCTCAGTGACACTGTAAGTTAATATTTACATTTCTATTTTAAAGTAGTAATGATAAATCAGAGTTACTATTCAAATGAACCTTCTCGTTAATTCCCCTTAAAAATTAAAGGTGGTATTAGTTCATATACTAATTAACTTTTGGGGAGGTTCAGTTAAATGACAATTAGTTTTGAAAATGAATGCTCTAGAAATAAGTGTACATGTTTACAAAAAAAGAAATAGAAATTTAAAACATATACATGTGTGAAAAATTTACAGAGATGAGAAAAATGTACATTGCCCTTATAAAGGTAAAAACCTGTAAGGTACCTTAATATCCAACTGCAGCAAACAGCTGTAAATTAATGGTGTATCTGCTCAATGGACTAAGATGCACTCATTAAAAATTGTGTTTTGAAGAACATTTGAGGAAATAAGAAAATGTTCATACGATAAAGAAAAAAAATGGAAGCTATAGAAATAAGTACTAATATGGTTTAATCCAAATAGTTTACAATGCACACACAGATTAGAAGGAAATATGTCAAAAAATTAATATTTTTAATTAAATATGGTGGTATGTCTGCAGGTGATTTTTATTTTTTATTCTGTTGTGAGGTATTATTGTTATAATAAAAATAATTTAAAATATAGCTTTCACAGTAAAAAAAGAAACATCTTAAAATATTTATTGTATGAGTTCTATCAGTATTTGCTAAAAGGGAAAAGCTGGACTTTATCTACAAGTATTGAGATTTGACTGGAAACAATTTAGGAATTTTTTCCTTAAAAGTTCTCCAGATCTTAGCTGAAGGGTCACTCCCCGACTTTTTATTCTATATTAGGTTCCTTTATTTACACTCTTATAAGACCGGGTTTCTTTGCCTTCCTAGCTCTTATGTTAATTTGTAATTACAAACTCATTGTATTATTTGATTCATGTCTGTCTCTTCCACTAGACTGTACAATAAGAGCAGGAACCATATCTGTTTTTACTAACCACCACATCCCTAAATCCCTAATGTCCTGCACTGTGCCTAACATACAGGCATGCAATAAATATTTCTTCAATGGACAAATAATAAAAAGCGTTATGAGTTTCTACTCAGTCCTCTTAATAAACTGTCTGATTCATAAGATACTGACAAGAACTTCATTCAAACACTCAAAGTTTAAGAGACTCCAATGTCTTAACATTTTTCTCATGAATTATAAAACTCTAGTTTTGCTCTGCAAACAAGAGCATAAAAGCCAAAAACCAAGCTCCCTACCTTGTGATAGTTCTCATAACTGTGTTAATTATTTCCATATGAGAAGCTAAAGGGCCGGCCCGGTGGCACACTGCTACAGTGCGCCGCTTGAGAAGCGCGGCGGCGCTCCCAACGAGGGTTCGGATCCCATGTGCAGACCCACGGCTCACTGGCTGAGCGAGGAGCGGGGGCAACACCGAGGGTTGCGATCCCGTTGCCGGTCCCAGTCCGGTACGGGTGCGACACTGAGGGTTGCGATCCGTTGCCAGTCACGAAAAAAGACAAAAAGACAAAAAAAAAAAAAAAAAAAGAAGCTAAAGAATTTAATATTCTGCTTCAGGCTATTTTAAACATTTAACTTGGAGAAAGTGATCATTTTTCCACTCAAAACTCTGACATTTCCTCATTCCCACCCTCCAAGGTTCAAATTACATTTTCCTAACTACCTTCAACATCAAATTATTTCATTTTTTTAAAAAATTTTATTTTGTCTATATACAATGTGGTTGATTATTGTGACCCATTACCAAAACCTCCCTCCCACCCAACAAGGTCCTGTTTGCTTGTAGTATCAACTTCAAGGAACTGTAGTTGTTATGTCTTCTTCCCCCCCCCCCGTTTTTGTGTGTGTGTGTGAATTTATTTATTTATTTTTATCTCCCACCAATAAGTGAGAACATGTAACATCAAATTATTTCAAATTCAACAGGTCCAAAACTGTACTCGTCTCACTTTGACACTTCCTTATCTTCCTTCTTTCGGGCAAGAAACTGCAGTTCCATGTTTGAGTCTTCTCACTCTTACTTACCATCAAGCTTATGTATTTAAATCTTTTTTGAAATATCTTACAATTCTCCTTCCTTTTTTCTCTTTCTCTCCAATCCCCAAATCACCAACCTAACTATGAATCAAGGTAAGTTGCTCACCTTCATTTTACCTCGTGTCCTGAAACAACTCTCATCATTATCTCCTGGCCACTCTAAAATCAAGAGTCTCTCACTACGGTCTTAAGCAGTGGTTCTCTCTAAGTGTTGTTTCCTAACCAGCAACATCTATGTTACCTGGGAGCATGTTGGAAAAGTAAATTTGTGTCTGTGTGTGTGTGTGTGTGTGTGTGTGTGTGACCGATAAGGGGATCGTGACCCTTGGCTTGGTGTCACCCGCACCGCGCTCAGCCAGTGAGCGCACCGGCCATCCCTATATAGGATCCGTACCAGCGGCCTCAGCGCTCCCAGCGCAGCTGCGCTCCCAGCACCGCACTCTCCCAAATGAGCCACGGGGTCGACCCGGAAAAGTAAATTTGGGGGTCAGACCTCATACCTACAGAATCAGAAACTCTGAGGGTGAGGCCAAGCAATCTATGATTCTGATGCAGACTAAAGTATAAGAATCACTGGTCAAAAGCATAAAATCTAGATTCCTTTGCTTAGCTTTGGAGGCTGTCCAATAACCTGATCCCATCTTCCCTATTAATCTTATTTATTTCCCTTCCATAGATAGCCATCACTCCAGTGAAGACCTATTTCTTCATGTAGTCCCAAAGGTTCACTCTCATCTATGTCTCTGCTCATGTCAGTCTGTTCTCATATCTAACCAACTACATCCCACTTTCAAGGCCCAGCTTATTTTCTCTTTTCTATAACAATATCTCCAAAAACTGAAATCCACACTGTCACCCCACTTAAATTACTATTTTTTACAGTTAGTACCAATTGGCTTACATTTAAACTATTTGCTGCTGTTGTTTTTTTAACATATGGATCAAGTTTTTGTCTTTGGGGTTTTTTCTCCCCTTAGTATACCTCTGGACACACAATACCTGCTCAATGAAGTCTTGCCAGTGTGGTTATATTCTTAGTTATTCTTCTTTTGCGGGGGATAACACAGGTCAAACTATTCCAGCAGGGATCTCTTTACATTTCCCTATGCCATCTAATGACATGGCATCCACAAATTCCCTCTCCCAACCAGAAAAATTATGAAATGCTGCAACAAATCTAAATACTGACCTCGACACTCAGAAAACTGACGGGTTTGGAACACGGAACTTCCCGATCAAAGTTATGACTTCTCCACAAACTCGGCTTTCAATTAATTTCATTAATACAACAGTTTCACCCAGACAGCTGTTCATCTGAGTTTGATAGGCACAGGAAGCCTGGGCACATTTCCCACTGAAATGTAACGACTTGAATCAAAGCTTTCCATCAAAGCCATATGCAGACTTTTTAAAAAGGTTATTCTAAAAGACAGGATGGAGATGGTGCGAGTGTGGAAAATGGGCATCCACAAATACTCTGAAGAAAGGCCTCCTCTGAAAAGGGTAGGCCAATGTACACAGGAAGGAAAAAAAGTACCTGCTAAGTTTACTGCTTACGATAGCAAAATGAGTTAGAAATGAAAACAGAAATGGTACTGGTCACCTCGGAAATTGTTTTTGCGGGTGGGCAACCACCAGAAAACCTAAGGTCTAAGGAAAGTAATCTGAGAGTGGAGAAAACAAAACTTTTCCTGAGAGCCTGAGTCTCAGGGGTTTTGGCTGACAAGAGGCGAGACGCGCAAGAGGTTTGCAGCTGACCAGAGAAGGCGGAGACCCGGGGCCAATGAATCTTACTTTTCCCGCAGAAGTGGCGTCACATGTGGTGTGTCGGGTTAGGGAAGCGGCGGGGGAGCGCCGGGACCCAGGGTGTCTGCAGCCAAAGATGCGACTCACTCACCTTTCCCATTCAGACGCAGTGGTGAAATCCGTGATCTCAAATACCTCGGACTCGGGCTGAGGGAAGGGGAAGGAAAGAAAGAAAGAGATTGAGCCCCGTGGCCATGACGCGGAGCAGAGAATTGAGTGATATGGATAGATGAGGGGAAGACACCTCACCTCACTGTCGGCCGCCATCTTGAGAAGCGCCGGACTAGGCGCTAGGACTGCCGGGAAGAAGAGCGGAAGAGCTGGGGAGGGGGAGGAGCAACCCTGGGCGGGGCCTCCTGCCGGACCCGCCCTCTGTTGGTGAGTTCCGCCTGGGGTGGGGGGGAATGCTCTTTGTTTCCCTGTGGCAGGAAGAATTTAGTCCGGCCCCTAAACTTCCCTCTGTCTGGTTTAATGAAATTTGAAAATTTCCTGTAGAGCAATGAATACAGGAAGGCGACAGAAGCAAGGAGGTAGGACAAGGCCCTAGGCTCATGTGAATAAGATTGAAAAACCTAAAGCACATTGAGTTTGTTTTCATTCAACCTCTATTTATTGATTGCAAGGCACTGAGCTGGGTGCTGTATTACCAGTCCACCCCTCTAACCCCTCCCCCCAAAAGAATTTACTCAGTTGGGTTAAGTCATGAAGTTATCTGTTTTCTGGAAAAAGCAACATGCTGTTCAATGAATGCTTCACTTTTTAAGCTATTGAGCGGAACGGATGCCAGCTAGCAGTTAAGAATTCTAGCTCATGCATAATGAAATATTTACAGATGAAATGATACCAAGACTGGGATTGGAGGGGAAGTGGGTGGGGCCGGGAATGAAATAAATCTTTGAGTGGTTAATTAAGCCGGTGGTAAGTACAAGGGTGTATATTTTGCTATTTCCTTATTTTTGTTTGTTTAAAATTTTTCAAAATTAAAAGTTAAACATAATTAAATCTCACTTAATGTTTTACAACCCACAGAGGGAATTTGGGGATGGGGTACTAGGAAATGAAGACTCAGTAATAAAAATACTTAAAATAAGAGATCTAATTTTTGGTGATGTAAATAGAGCACACGAGGAAACTATGAGTGTACTTCAAAAAGTTCATGGAAAGATTTGTATTATCTTTTAATTCTGTTTTTCCATGAACTAAGTACCCTGGTAAAGGTGAGAAGAATTTTGACAACAGGTAGTTTTTGCCAGTCCAACCCTTGAGCCCCTGTCTCTTAAATGCTCCTTCTAGTTTGTGTGCATGACACGAGTGGGTTACTATAGCAGCAGTCTTTCCCAGTGAAAGAAAGTGAGCCGAGATGCCGGGTACCATTCAAGCTTTATTAAAGAAAGAAATCTGCTGGGCTGTGCTCAGAGTGGCACAGGGCCATGGCTGCCCTGAAAATGGTGGACAGCCCCAACAATGGGTTTGCGAGAGTTTATATTAGCTTTGGGGTGCGAAATGTACGGGGGGGAGGGACCATTAGGTTGATATAACTGGGTGGAGAACTGCACTGATGCAGAAGTCGGAAAGTTGTTTCTAAGTCAGGAGGCTTCTGTAAAGGGAAGGGGGGAGGGGAGGGGAGGAGGTGGGCGGAGCGATTTTGTATTTGGCCTTGTCTAAAGTGGCGCTGGTTATGTTGCAGATCTATTACCCAAGAGGTCTCAATTTGCACCTGCATGGTAGACATGTTTGTATGGGATGGAATACTCCAGTTGAGAGAGACTGATGATGAAGGAGAGATAGAGAGCTGAAAGACACAGTTGTTAAAAAGGTGAGAGGGGAGGAAATCTGCAGAGCTGAATGATCACACAGCTTCAGGGGACACCACTCACATTGTGTTCTGAGGTCTTGCTTCAGGAGGTACCACCCACAGAGAACACCTTGTAAATAGCATCCCCTGGAGTTGTGTGGCAAAGCAGTACAAAGAATTCAGAGCTTGTGTAGAAGGAGAGAATGAAGCATATGTTAGTGAGGTTGGCCTTTTTTAAGGAGAGAAAAAAGGGAAGATAAAGATGGATGCAGACAGAGAAAGAGATGTACATATAAAAGGAAAAGAATTTTTTGTTCACTTTTTAAGATTCTCATCAAGTGAAATAAATCCGTGGGTTTTAAGGTCAGACAAGTCTGGGTTCAGCCATTTATTAACTATATTACTTTGGGCAAATTGCTTAACTCCTCTAAACCTATTTCTCCGTTAGTAAAATAGAACTTGTAATACCTATTACTGCATAGGATTGTGGCTCAGATTAAGTTTTATGTTCATTTGTAAAACAGTACAATGTGTCAGCATGTAATAGGTGATCAATTATAGTAGTAGCATTTATAACGAATGTACTGTGAAAACCATAAAGTGCTATTCAAATGTAAGGCGTTGCTTTTTTCCTCCTTGCTTAGTCATGGAGAAATTTCACTACATACCAAAATCAGAAACTAAAAATTCACAAAGACTTTGCTGTATGAAGTTAAATTTTACAAACTGCATGAAAAGAGCCTTATCAGGTTGCTAGGAAAAGTTTTCTTCCAAGATATTTTTGGCTCCTTGATTTCTCCCTGGAGAAATTTTTAAAATAAGTTATTTGTTAAAGCGGAGTGTGAAGCCAGGATGCTAATGATGTAAAATACCCAGGGGAGACACACTTTTATTAGATTTTTACTGGTTCATAAAGCAGAAAAGATTCTGTATCTTCAGTATTAGAAGCTCTTTTGCTACATATCCAAAGGCAAGGGCTTTTCCATGAAAGTGTGTTTCCTCTTTGGCATAATTCAGTTATTTCAAGGTGTTACCAATAATGGCCATGGGGAGATATTTTGACGCATAGGCAATTTAAGAGATTAGAAGCCTGGAAAACTCACCCTCAGCTTAGTCCTCAGAGAAATGTGGGGGCAAAACAGTTTAATTAGGTCTCAGGGATAGAGCAAACATTGTTTGCGAAAGGAGCAACAACCGTGGGACTACACCATCCTCATCTATCTTGATGGCCTCTGTGCAGGGAGAATTAGGAATTCTCTATGATGCTGCCATGAGAACGATTGCAATAAAAGGTACAGCTGGAAGAGGAAGACATGCCATGAGAACAAGAAACTCTTCAGAGAGAAATTTCATAAATCAAAATAATCGGACATCATTTTTTCATTCATTCAGTAGTATTTACCAAGTGCATACTGTTATGGCACTGTGGGCAGTCCTGTGGATAGGGTTCAAAGAAGAATAATCCCTGGTTCTTACAGTCTGAGTGCCTAGAGATAAGACACAAGTAACTATAACAAGGTTTTAGAAAGGGATGCGTAATAGCTATCCAACTTCTTAAAGCTCTTTGTAAAATCAGTGGTAGAAAAATTTTCAAGTGATGTTTCAGAACACACACAAGGTAATCCACTATTTCTTGAACCAGAAAGCGGCATAGTCACTCAGGCAAGGAAATTGTAGAGAATTTCAAGAGAAATAATGCAGTCTCCATTCACTCACCATACACATTCAGCCACTTGCTCATTCAATAAACATTTGTTAAAGGCCACAGCTATGTGCCTGGAGCTGTTCTAGAAACTGGAAAACAAAAATATAACAACAAGGTGCCTGCCTACAGGAAGTTTAAAATATGAAGAAATTGGATTATTCTAGATAGTCATAGTAACTCAAAAACAGTTTCAATCCTTAAATTTGTAACTTGTCTGGCAGATTCAGGCAGAACAGGCTTACTGGATAGTTAATTTCATTTGCCCAAGTTATGTGTTTCCATTTTTTTAATTTTTTTTTTTTTTTAAAAGATGACCGGTAAGGGGATCTTAACCCTTGACTTGGTGTTGTCAGCACCACGCTCAGCCAGTGAGTGAACCGGCCATCCCTATGTGGGATCCGAACCTGGGGCCTTGGTGTTATCAGCACCACACTCTCCTTAGTGAGCCACGGGCCGGCCCCATTTTAAAAATATTTTAATGGACCTTGAACTCAGAATGTGGGGAACAAAATAATTGAAAAGAGTCACGAGAATTGAGTACAAGTTTAGATAATAAGCATATTCTGCTAAGCATGTATGTGTATGCATACATCCATGTACAACTAATTACTATATTTCACACATGCGTATTCTTATTTAATCTCCACTCTTTTCTTGTTTGGGATGGTAAATTATTCTAGCTACAGATAACTAATAAGTAAAAAACCTTAGATATAATCCTAAACTTCTTTTGTGTCACAGTGTTCTGAGTCCCACTAACTACATTCATGGCAATATCAAATGCTTGCCCTGATCTGCTCCTCACTTCCCTTCTATGTTCGCTTCAGTCTAGTCACTAACATTTGAGCATTTCCATCTCTACTGCTTCTGCTGTGTTGCTGCAGTAATCTTGTATCTTCCATTTCTGTTTGTTCTTTGAAGATACTTATTACTGTTTATCACCAAAGGTAGAACCTGGGAATCTGTATTGTAACTTAAGTATCATATAAGTAGTAGGAATGCCTTCTCATTGGAAAAGGTTCCAATGATATGCATGAAGGGAATGGCTTCCTTGGCTGTCCTTTCAACTCCTGTACCACCAAGATATAATCACTGATTCTGTAAACGTAGAAAACCCCCCACACTCATGTATACACTATAGAACTAATTTTGTTTTCCCCTTTAGAGCTAGCTCTTAATGATTAACTGAGATTGTATGGAAAGCAGACATCCTGTCTCACCTGATACATCTCTCAAAGCAGGAAGCAACTGTGCATATCACGCTTGAAGACGTCCTGTCTCCCCAATACATTTACCCATATAAACCGCAGCTCTCAGTTGACTGGGGAGGCAGTTGGGACTTTACCCTCTGTCTCCTGGTCATCATCTTCCAAAACAGAAAGCTTTTCCTTTCAGTTGTCTGGCAGATGTGATTGGTGATCCTATAGCAGCAAGTACACTGATCCTCACAGGTCAGGGATTCCCCCAACCAAGTCAGCCTCACACACGTTGGCTGATGATGAAAGGGAATCACACGAGATTCCCAATACCAGTTACCAATACCAGTTAAGCGTGAAATCCTTCAGACCTTTTCCTATGCTTTTACATACATATTTGTATATAGAGAAATAAATAGGTTTTTTAAATCTTTTTAATCAATTTTTTGCACA